AAGCTATACTATCAAGTTCTTTGCCAGCAAGTCAAAATAATTTTATCGATCTTATTAAGAGCTAAACTATCACGTAGCTCGTTCGCTAATCAAATGATATCCTTGTAGATTTTGTTAACAATAAAAAATATCAAAATTGTTAGTAAATTAATCAAGTCTTATTATATTGAGCTCAATAATAAAACTTTAAATAATTTAGCTATCAAATAAACAAAAATGTCTGCGAGCATACACATGTAATTTGTGTTTTTAAAAAAAATAAAAAGAAAATAATATTAAATAAATTTGTAATTGAGCTTCTCAACAAATAGCAAGCTTTAAATAAGATTGTTTGTAATCATTAAAGAATGGAGCATCAAATTACAAATAACTTATTAATTAATTCATTGGTAGCATTAAGGCCATATCCAACCGAACAACATTCTCCAATTTGCAATAGCTGCGACAACCCAATTGAACTCCAAATTGAACGTCACTTTCGAGTTCTGAACCGCAAATTGGCGTCGGATTGCTCATAGCAGAGCAAAGAGAAAATGCAAAATGCAATTTTTGGTCCTTCGAGTGGAGATTTGTGGCAATAACAAACAGACAATAGACGAATTACGTTAGGCTCGATTGGAGATGTCCAAAGCATAAATAATTTAAAGGTGTTGAAATTTATTTTATTATTTCATTTGGATTAAATTTGAACCTCTCAAAATATATTGTTTGTATTTTAATTAGGCTCATCAAAGTGGGCCCATATGTTTTATTGTAGTGGTGATGTGGGCTCTCATGGAGTTATTTTGGCCATCGGTTAACATAAATAAGATTCTGGCGGTTTAAAAGCTTTTTAAAATGCACATGTTTGATGGATAGGTTGGTCCTATCCCATCCGACGGTCAAAATAACTGAAGAATATTATGCAGTCCTTCCAACCATGGAGCAAACTATCTAGACTAATAAGACCACGTGTAAATCAGTTATACGAGTTTCACGGTGTTCTCACGCGATTCGCGTGAGTCAAGCAGCCGTGCAGCAGTTATTGTGAATCTTCTCCACCAAATTCAATTTTGCATTCGTATTGGTTATCAACTTCAATTCATATTTGGTTTTTTTTTATGGGATTTTATTCAACAATCACTATTCTTCTTATAATTTTAGGTTTATATTTCACATATCATAAATAAAATCAAGTAATCAATATGAATTTTAATGTAAAACATATAATTTTGTTACGTGCTAGAATATTTATTTCAGTAGAGAAAGATTTTAACGTCTTAATTTTATACAAATATCTATCATATAAATAGATAAAATATAAGAATTTTAGTTGAGTTATGATGATTAGGAGATTGTAGTCATACTACAATAGTTATGTGACTTTGGTTGATATGTTTTTGTTTGATAATAATAGTCAGATCGATAATTGTCGTCAAGTAATGATGAATTGACGACTATGAAAGGGGTCGAAAGGGGTGAATACAGTCAGGTGATAGTGTTTAAGTGACTTTTGCAATTGGAGGTGATCAGTATAATAAAATGTTAGGTAGTTATTTAAGCACTCTACAAATTAAGATCCAAATCTTAGCTAGCTACGAATCTCCTAGCTTCTCTTCACCCATTAATATGAAGATTGATGGCTTATTTATAGTTTTCTTCGTTAATATTTTGGTTATTTTAGTCAAAGACCTAAAACTTTCAAAATACTCTATTGAATGATCCATATTGAATACCTTAATTATAGATCATTATAAATATTTACAAGCCATAATGATCTCTCATTGAGCCACTTGATTTAACTGTTAGCATGAAAAAATAAGAGATCATTTGATTCTACAATTAATATCCCTAAATTTCTAATTATATTTCAACTATTTGATTTGGGTTCAATTGGAGTTGAATTTTTTGATGTCAATGTATTCGTCTCAATAGTGGTGTCAATTTTGGGTCACGGGTCGGGTTCGAGTCAAATCCGGAACGTTTGGCACACTTAATTTTATCAATTTAATAGTAAAATAGAAAGCCTCATGAAAGGAAGAAAATATTAAAAAAATGGAGATGTTGGAAATTTTCTTGGACATGCCGCATGTGGTGTCCACTTGCAACTCACGTCACCACGGCATGCACGCTGCTTTTACAAGCCATTCATTTTAATTTATAATCAAAACCTCTCATCAACCCCAAGTTTCTCGCAGCACGTTGCTGCGAGATTTTCAAAGTTAGGTGGTTTCAATAATTTCGATCCATTTTTTTATTCAACTTATCTATAATTTATTATTATTTTAAGTTTTATTTGAAGGAAATTAAATTTAAAAAAAAAAACTCTTTTACCAATCATAATTTTGAAATAATAATTATAAAAAATTATATTTTAAACACATTATTTTTTATTTAAAAACAGTTGAAAAATTATTCTAAATAAAACCTTAAACCACAAATATATTTATAATTAACACACATAAATAAAAACGTTTATTAATAAAATTTATGAGAGAAAGTAGGGATAAGATATGATCATGATGAATTTTTGAATTATAGTTAATTGATTAATTATGAAAATATTAAACTAATCTCAAACAAATTCAAAATTTAAAAATTCATTTTGCCAATATCTTATCTCATCAACAAGTTTTTTTATTATAAATTATTAAAATCTCCCTAAATTTATTTACATCACAACTATATATCTGTAAATATTTTTATTTTATACCTTAAACATTTTTTCCCCACAGCAATAAAAAGCTATAAGATGAACTTAAATTGACCGCTACTAAGTTAGTACAATATCCATAATTTTCACATAATTAGAATCTCAACACTACTAATAAAATAGGCTTTCGCAGCGCTTTTTCCATCCTACGGCAGCGGTTATAACACCTCTAGGGTTAGTGATTTGCAAAAGAAATTTTTATTGTTGTTTCTTTTCTTACATTTAATTTCTAATTTTAGGGCTAATATAAAGAAATAAGAAGAAGAATGAGAATAAGAGGGAAAAGAACATGAAGAAGAAGATGAAGGAGGGAAAGAGATTTATGAAGAGGAAGGAGGGAAAGAGATTTATAGTGAGGAACGGCCGGCCGGAGGTCAAGTGTCACGCCCGTCGCTTGAGGAGAAGAGCTGTGCCCGCGCCCCACCTCGCCTGAGGAGAAGAGTCGCACCGTCGCTTGCGTTCGCTCCAAATTTCAGTCTGTTTGCATTCGCGGGAGACGAAATAGAGAAATTAGGGGTTCGGGTATTTTAAGTGCTGGGCGCGATTTTTTTGGTTTTAATTGGACCGGTTGAAACCGGTGCCAAAGAATGTTTTGGCAGCATTTTTAAAACCGCTAGAAAAAATTGATGCAAAAAATACTATTTTTTGGTAGTGCAAATAGCATAAATTGTGTCTATCTTAGGCTTCGTTTGAACATCTTTCTTGCTACTTTTTAAAGCACTATTTTAATTAAAAGATTTTGTGCTAGAAAACTGCTTTAAAAAACAATCTCAAATAAACCCTTAATCTTCAATTTTCGATATAATCCAACATTTTATTGAGACATTTATGTCAATTAAAGCAAACACACAGACACAATCACTTATGTAAATTTCGAATTCAGGATTTTTTAGTTGATAGCTAAAGCTCCCGACTAATAGAACAAGATGAATAGACTATGTAGAATAGTCGGTGGAAAACTAGAAATTAAGTTATGAAGGAAGGACAAACAAGCAAGGTTTACTTTAGAAGGTAAAATATAAAGGTCAAAGTTGCTAATTTGGTGGTGACCGGAACCGACTCATTATCCACAAATTGTAAAAAAATAAATGGATCAGCTCTTCACCGAAAGGGATTAGGGATGGCGATAGCCCATAGCGGTTGAAATGTCAAACCTGTGTGTCAAAGATCAAATCCTATGCTCTTATATTTGTCTATATTTGGCAGAACATAAATCAGATTCTAACCATTTGTGAACCAATTTGAACTGGCGAAACAACATTGAGTTTTATTTTAGGGACATTTGGATTAATTAAGATAAATTTTTACATATATTACATATATACACAAGATTTGAACTCACAACGTCCTGAATGAATGATCAAAGCTCCCAACTAACAAACCAACTGATCTGAATAAATAACACGGAGTTAGTTCATAAGTTAGTTCTTACTCAACCCTCAAAACCAGACTATTTAACTTGTCCAAGAACTCATGAAGTCGCTCAATCGTCAAGGCTATTCATCTCATTGAATTCTTTCTCGTAATCTCTGTAAAATTATTTTTTATTTTTCTTTTTAATTGCTTGTAAGAAGATTAATTACGCCATTTATTTGTATATGCTCAATGAGGTCTTTTGGAGACCAATTTACTTAAAGAAAATTTTTAAGACTTAGTTTCTTTCTCTTATATTTTATTGATAAAGCTTGATCAATATCTCTAGACGATCTCTCTGTATTTTCTGCACAAATGGTTGAATCCATCGTTCCATAAGATGCAAAATACAAGAAAATGTTGTCAACAATGAAAAATACAATGTATTTGAAATATTTGAATTATTCAGATGAGTGTAAAATAAACAGGTAATCATTTTTTTATTTATTTTAAAGTAAAATAAATGCCGTATAGAGCCAACGACAGCTTTAGTGACGGCAATAGGGGATAACGGCAGGCGACAATAATAATAGTAGAGAATTTTTAGTGCATTTGAAATATATCAAATTAAATTATTTTCAAATACATCAAAATTAAATTACACGTTGAATTTAAAATCTTATAAATGATCATTTGTGTTTTATCCATTTAAATTTATTTCAGATTTTTGCTGTAGCGTAATTTAATTTTCTTTTTTATTTTGATTTTACATGATATAAACATTAGCTAATGTAATTTTGCAGGAGTGGGGATGGTTATGGTTCTGCGAACTTTGGTTTGGATCCTCTCTTTTTTTTTTTTTCATAATATGGGCAAACTTGGTGGGGGGGTAGATCGCGCTAATTTGGGAACAGGTTACTCATCAAGAAACTGCAAAAACATAATAGATAACATCTTCACCCAAAAGCTAAGGAGATGTTGCAATAACAAATAGAATGTCAAACTTGCAAGTCAGAGATCACATCCTATTACATATAAAGTTACAAATCGTCCTAAACAGCTCAACTAAAAACAACAATCTTGAAAGAGTTTAATCAACGAAAAAAAAAATTAGAGTAATAATTAAACTATCTGATACAATTCGAGATCTGAGGCCCCAAACCTAGCCATGGCTGGCAGATCTCCTCCTCCTTCACAGAAACAGCACTCTTCGAGCCCTCGCTGCTGCTTATCTGATACGGTGCCTTTGCAGTAATCCTGATAGTTAACCAATAAATAACATCATTAATCAAATATTCATTTTTAAACGCTTAATTACTTTCTTATAGCTTAATAAATCATTGAATGAAAATTTTAACAAGCTCCTCACCTGTCCTTTCTCTTCTCCAGAAAGCGATGCAGTGATGCTTTCCTTGCGATAGGGAGATCTGTATACAACAAAAAATTAAAAATAATTACTAAAAGGTCGAGTAAATAACCGAGCCCTCTATATGCTAAATCCTTACGAATATGCGGTCAATCTTTGATCAATCAAACAAACAAGACCGCCGAATAAATTTATTCAAGACAGCAAAATTTTATTAAAAAACTTAGCCTATCAATTATTTTGGTTGACCAAGATCGCACAAGCAGTTGATTAATGGATTATCTTTAAGGGACAGTTTGGTATCCTATTTTAATAAGAATTTAAACAAGATTTAGCTAAAATCTAGTAAGTTTTAGATCCCACTATTTAAAGAATTTAATGAATCTGAGTAATTCTCCCTGTCAAATTATTTCTTAGCAACATTTTTGTGATGCAAACCACTTTCAAATTTCAAGGAAAAAAATCAAGTCCAGAATAAATTTTTTGTTCAAAATTGATCTCAAATACTTAGATCTGCAAACCACTTTTAATTTTGGATCTCCTAATTGTAGCCAAACAGTCCCTAAAGGTGATAGTGAATAGATGAATATCATGCAGTCCTGTTCGACCGAACGATCTTGAAATTACGGCCAACTTGCTTAAAAAGCAATAATCAATAACAAATTGCTTAATCAAATAAGTGAATAACTAGTCCTGCAGAAAAAAAAACAAGGGCTCACCAGAAAAGCTGGGCTGCGCCCGGGGTGGAAAGCTCGCCGGTGGATTGGACGGAGCAGGGCAACTCGGGAGGTCAGCGGCGGCGCTTGGAGGCGTGAGCGAGAAATTTTGAACGCCTAGGCCTGAGCCTTTGCTCGCGAGCTGCATCAGATCCTGAGCCTTTTCTGCCGGAAAGTTGTCGAAAACTAGAACCTTCCCCCCGTAGAATATGGTCAGCTGGGCCTTCTCCGGCTGCCTGAAACCCAACCACCGAATACAAATAATAAGAGTTAAAAAATGTCAAGGGATGCTTGTAAAATTGAATGGTTCATTATGTAAATAAAAAAAAAACTTCAAGGGTATAGTTGAGAAATCGAACATACTTAGCGGGCTGAAGGGGAAACAGTTCAACGGGTTTCGTAGAGTTAAGTGCCGACACGTCGTCCTTCTCGCCAGCCATATCGTCGCCGGAGGCATCCACTCCGGGAAGTAAACTCATGGTCGTCGGTGGACGATACGCATCCGGTTTACCTGAAAAGTAGCAAAAAAAAAAACTTCGTCAAAATTCCAAGCAACAATTCTTCCCCTGCTCCATAAAATTTGACCGGAATCGAAGTACCAAAATTAATCCAGTACTTATTCCTGCAATAAATTTAGAAAAAACCAAAGCCCGTGCGCTAATCGAAGTTGGAAGAAAGCATGAACAAATGAAATTAAAACAGATCATAAAAAAATACTATTAAATGAAAGAATCTTCACTAAGTTCCAAAGTCCTCCACGTTTCTGAATAAAAAATAACCTAAATCAAGTCCAAACGAAGAAAGTCCAAGAGAAATGAAAACAAATCCCCATGAAAACGAACAAATAGGAGTAAAAACACTCCGCATTCAGTAAAGATCAAAGTCGGAAGAGAAGGCAGAAACGACGAAACCGAACCAGAGCATAAGAAATCAGGGCGAATGGAAAGTTTAAAGACAATTTGAAGACTCCAACAAAAAAAACCGAAGAAATCGGAGGAAAACCTCCCGATTCAGAATCCCCTAGTCAAACTCAACAAGAAAGAAAAATAAAATACCTATAACAGCGGGATCAAGCAAGCGAGTAGGCCTTCCCAGGCCGAGATCTGCGGGGCAACCCTTCTCCTTGATATACTGGCTCAAAAGACTACAAGTGAGCGAAAAGCTCGACTTCTCCGGCCGCCTTCCCATCTCCGAAAAGCTCGCCATCTCCACGATCTTCTCCGGCAAATCGATCGATCTCACAACAAAATTCCTTTCTCCGATTCTTTCCCTTGCCCTCGATCTATCGCTTTATACACTTTTGCTCTTCACGCCTAGTTTCCGCTCCCATCCAAACACGGCCACGCATTTATAAAGTAGAATCCAGTGAGGCGAGAATGGCGCGGATTTAAAGCACGTGAAGATAATAAATTTATTTAATTAAAATAAAAAATAATAATATTTCGTTGAATATGGTGGGGGATGGAAACACGATGTGTGTTTCCTGGAATTGGTCCTCCCGTCCGCCAAAACGGCACGCGAAAATTAAATAATTAATATTATAATAGATATGGGTATTGGAACGGAGACATGTGGAAGCGGTTGATTAAAGCTGTAAATTGCTACCTAATCTTAACTAGTTAGGGATAATTTTTCTATTTATTTTAAGTTTCTTTATTATTGAGATGTATATTAATTAAGGAAAATTTTGTATATTAGAAGATTTGATTAAAAAAATTTGATATGAATGAGTAATCGTTATCGTTTAAAATAAATATAGTAATTTTAATATTCATCTTTATAAAAAATTAAAGGAGATGCATATATTTATATAAATAAAAATTTTAACGGTTTTTACTCAATTTAAACATTTTAAGAGCCAGGCAAAGCTTCTAAAATTAATTTTGAGTAATTTATTAGAAGCATTTGAAACGGAAGTTTTTAAAAAATTTTGATTTTATGAAAAATTAATATTATAATTAAAGAGATTTTATTTAATTCATTGTCCTATGGGTGCAAAAGAGTTGGGATCAAATTGACTTTGTTTTTTTCTTGCGTTGGTCAACTTTTGATCTTATTTTGTATGGTTTCTCTTATCTAATGAAAAGTTAATTTTCTGTTAAAAAAAAAAAGTTAGGCTTGACTCGAGCTCAACTTGCGCGCCAAATCATGAGCTTGAACTCGAGTCAAATTAGAGCTCAACTTGTCACTGAAAAATGAGTAGTCAAGCAACCTACGTGTTCGATTCGTGGGCGGCTTCCGTTGTTCGCACACAGTTTAGCACTTGCACACTATTTTCGTGTATGACACATGCTTCGGTGGGTAAGTTGCACGTTAGCTTATGCTGCAACGGAAGTTTCTGCTGTTCGCACACAGTTCAGTGTCTCATCCTCCCTAGTTGTTTTGCCTTTCACAAGACGCTCCACGAGTAATTGAGTCGAGCGGGCAGATGTTCAAACTCGAGCCCGATAATCCCAACGAGCTTGAAATCTTGCTCGAGCACGACTCGCAAGCTTGATAACCTCGACTCGAGAGCTCATTAACGAGCCGAACTCGAGCCGGTTCGTGAGTCGACTTGACTTCAAGAAAAACATAAATTTTGATTTCAGAAAAATTGTAGACGAATTGAATAGCTCAACGAGACAAATACAATAACAACAAAAAATGATTGAATTCGATTATCCTTAAAAAAAAATCTTAAAAGTCCTTTTAAAATATTAGTGGTTTTAATAAGTTTTTCTTATAGGTTTTGACAACTCGTGGGCTAGGCAGCTACCGAAACGTACTGTGGGCGGTTTCCAGTTTTCTTTGGCCAGCTACTGCCAATAATGCATTTTCTTAATAATGGATTCGCATGTGCTTCCCTTAACTTGATACCTATTTCAAAATTGGATCACATGAAATATAATATAATATAATATAAATTAATTATTGCTTTCTAAAAAAAAATACAATGATAAAATATTGAAACTAATATCTCACATATATATAGAAATCAGAGTGAATTGCACTTACATGGGATGATTTTATTACTATTTTTTAAAGCAATTTTTTTATTAAAATTTTATTTTTTTATTAAAAAATTATCTTAAGAAACAGCAAGAAAGTTATTCCAAACAAAATCTTAATCTAAAACCCCACAAAAAAAAAAAGTATGAGACATAACTTAGTTGAAAATAGCTCCACTAATATATTTGATAATATCAAGATTAGAGAACAACATTAAAATGTAGCATGTTAGATCATCTGGGGCTATCTACACTAACGGCAATCAATATAATAATCGGAAGGCGAAGAAGGGTGGTATTGATAACCAATTGGTGTTTGACAATCGATGATAGCAGATGTTTCTGTCAATCAATGGTAAGCAGTGTACGACCAACGATGCACTTTGAGCATTGGTGTTGGTCAACTATAAACATCGAATGACAAGCAATATCATATAACTTCTGGCAAGTGGCAATGGATGGCGATAACTATGATCAATGAGTGTTGAGACTTATTGACAATAGGTGTCCAATGGCTAGCAATATCAATTTGTGTGCTATAGGAGAAATTATTCTGTGCGGAGACCGGATGCAGAACGCTGTTTTGAGACCAAAGCCGCGGTACCCAATACAGGGATGATGTGATGCATTCTAGTTGGTTTTCGAATGATGTTCGTCATCCACATAGAATAATTAATCGTGCGATGCTAGAGACGGCCAAATGGGGGTCAAAGCCTATTGTTATTAGTTTCTATATAAGTCCATTTTTCTTTCTGTTAAAGTCTATCGAGGGAATGCACAGAAATATTAATACTCCAAATATTTTAGGTGTGTCATTTTCATTTATTCTATCATCTTCTACCAAATCAAAGAACTATAAATGAAATTCCAAAATACTCTCATTTATGTTTAAAATGATCAGATGATATAGAGTTGGGGTAATCTGATGGATCTAATGGTTTATAATAATGGCTTAGGCAGTTGACCAATGAACAATGATCAGGTTTAATGCTAGCTAGTGATAACAAAGTCAATAATCGAAGAATAAAGAGTACCTACTTGAAGCTCTTGACTTTGTGAGCAAAATAAAGCAGATACATCGAACATCCTGTGATTGGAACAATTAAAACATAACTTGAATTTTAAATCATAATTTTTCATTGATTGAATATTACAATTGATATGTCACCATATTCATCTTGATTGAGCATGAATCTAGATGCAAACATGAGATTGAGACTTCAAAAATTAAAATTGGGATAATTCAAATTCTGATTTCAATAAACTTATAGTCAAATTAAAGATTTTGGAGAGACGAGCCCAACGACATCAAAATCAATCATATTTGAGCCCAAATGGGTTCAAATCAAAGGATCAAAGCATTTTTGGAAGCTTTGGAGCATTAATTGGATGATTGAATGACACCCAAATATAACATGCTTAAAGTCGAATCAAGCGGCTCGAAAAGACGAATCCAACAAGCCTTAGATCACTCAATTTTGTCATCTATAGGACATCTAAATACTTGATAAATGCTCTATAATCAAGGGGATCAATATGAGCCATATGATGTAATACTCCTAACATGTCGTTTATCTTTTTCATATTTACTATTTATAACACTCCCAAAAAACTATAATTAGACCGAATTCTTCTCATGAAAAGAAAAAAGGAGGAGGTGGAATAAAAAAAAAAAAGCTCTCAGGTTGAAGCTCCACACCGGCACCACTGTCGGTGAATTTTCGTCGACTACAGTCAAGCTGTTATGAAGTCGTCGACTACGATTCTTCCAACTACTGTCGCTTGCCGACTACGATCCTTCTGAGCACCATCGCCCTCCGACTACAGTCTTTTCGATCACCATCGCCCGCCGAATGCGGTCCTTCCAATCACCGTCCCCTGCCAACTACAGTCCATCCGATCACCATAGCCTACCCAGTACAGTCCTTTTGACCACCGTCGCTTCTCGATTATGGTCGTTCCGCCACTGCCACCCGCCGACTATGATTCTACTGTTCAAACGAACATATCAACATTCTTTTAAGAACGCCTGCAATGCCATTCTTCGACTATGTAGTGTGTGTATATATATATATATATATAGTATATTTGCTACATTAAGCCAGTGCCCTTAGAGGACGACATCATTTGTAAACCCCACCTATATTAGTGGACTCCTGTCAACTATGTCAGGCCCTGTGATTTTTCCCTTTTTTAGGGTTTTTCTTGCAAAAACTCATGTAATTGATGCACTTATCTCTTCTACCTGTTTATGTCATGTATATTTGTACAAAGTTAGGATATATATAAAAAAAAGTTAGGATGTTAAACTTTATATATTTCTATCATTGCAAATATTTCAAGACGCAACAATAATGATTATGCACAAACTTGCTAAGAATTTGTCCTTCCCGACTGTGGATGCCATCATAATTTTATAAAATTAGCAATTTATATTTTGCATCATTTGAAAAAGATGGCAAAATTACAAAACTACTTTTTAAGAAAAGTAATCTTCTAGTGATTAAGTCAACTGTACAAATAAAGTAAATGTTTGTGGCCTATAGAAGATGCTATTTGTTCTAGAAGTTTTGATTTCAAAATTATATGGCGAACTTGTACAATTCAAAGGGTCAAATCGTGATCCATAAAAAAAATGAGTCAAAGATAAATGGGAACTTGAGCAGACGAATCAAAAGATGATCGTGGCTAAGTTATAGGGCAACCCTTAATGTCATGGCCAGAGGTCGTTGCTAGCCCTAAATTAGGGGTGTCTAAATCTGACCTGATCCGAAATATTTTGATTTCGGGTCAACCATTTTGCATTACGGATCTGGTTCGGTTTCAAGTTTTCGAACCGTTTGAAAAATCGGATCTGATTCAGGTTGACTCGGAAACCCGAATTCAAGACCCGGGAAATTGACATGTCACTTCACGTCATCACACCTCAGTCTCGCGTCGCCCAGTCACATCTAGTCGCCTCATCCAGTCGGGTCAGGTAGCCATGTAGGCTGCTCCAGCGCTCCGCCGCTTCACCTTGCCATGCCGACTCGATCTCGCCATGCAGTCCTTCGTGCATGTCGCTCCGCACCGGTAGCCGTAGATCGCTATACAGCACTAGATCGCTCGACCATGTGAGGGTTTGACCCGACACAGGCCGCTCTGCGCACTCCGCTCCGGCGCTCCGCCTCGACCGCCATGCTGTCTCTCGAGACCCAAATCGACTCGATGCCGCCATGCAACCCATGCCGCCTCAGCCCGCGCTAGTTCGCATGATCTCATCAGTTTTCGCGGGTCTGGTTGGGTCATCCCGTAACCAATGCGGGTTGAAAATCCGGACCCATTTGTAAAATTATGTCAGGTTTGAGTTGAC